GCTCGGGCAAGCTCATAGTCTGTATGTATAGTAGCGATGATCTTTCAAAAGACCTTGCCAAAGTCACCATTCAATCTGAGAACGATGCTTCTACATTGACAGACGGAATCTAATGATCTATGTGCTTTGTTTATAGCACTTCTTTTCTTGTCTCACATCCACAAGTGTCTTTTTGTTGCACAAGACAATTTTCATGAATTTTGCTGGACAATGAAAATCAGCAAATTTGTAAGCAGTCAATATATTTCTGTTAATGCTGAATTTACAACAGTGTGTATCATATATTTTTATTATATAGCAACTAACTCTACATGCAAAAAGTCCCTTGCACACCTCAAACAAGCAGCATGCTCAGAGACGCTTTAATGCTCCTAGAAAGGTAAGTGTTTTCTCATAATCTTATTAGCCTTTCCATGCTATATTTTTTTCTGCCAAGATTTTAATGTGACATTAAGTATAACAAATGTCTCCTGGCTGTAGATGTTGACATTATATTAGTTAGCATGGTGACAAAATGTAGTTGTGCCATATTTGATGACATCTACAAACTGCAAAATGCAGTGACTTTTAGATAATTTGCATATCACTACATGTTAAAAGTGGTACATTTATTTAATCTGAGCTATCTACTTCACAGCAGTCATTTGGCAAAAATGCAGCGAAGATCGTTGAAACGTACAAAGGTAGAAAAAGACAAGTTTCAGATGGTAATGCTGGTGATGGTACCAAAAAGGCTAAAACACAATCGTATTGTTCAATATGTGAAGTGGAATGTGGCAGTGATAAGGTAAAAATGGGATGGCACAGTGGACAAGTGGAATGTGGCAGTGATAAGGTAAAAATGGGATGGCACAGTGGACTGACAAGTGAATGTGGCAGTGATAAGGTAAAAATGGGATGGTACAGTGGACTGACAAGTGAAATGTGGCAGTGATGAGGTAAAAATGGGATGGCACAGTGGACAAGTGGAATGTGGCAGTGATAAGGTAAAAATAGGATGGCACAGTTTACTGACAAGTGAAATGTGGCAGTGATAAGGTAAAAATGAGATGGTACAGTGGACTGACAAGTGAAATGTGGCAGTGATAAGGTAAAAATGAGATGGCACAGTGGACTGACAAGTGAAATGTGGCAGTGATGAGGTAAAAATGGGTTGGCACAGTGGACTGATAAGTGAAATGTGGCAGTGATAAGGTAAAAATGAGATGGCACAGTGGACTGACAAGTGAAATGTGGCAGTGATAAGGTAAAAAT